AGAGAGAGAGAGAGAGAGAGAGAGAGAGAGAGAGAGAGAGAGAGAGGATTGTTTTTGTATGTCAAATCTTCAGAGGAGATTCGCGTTGAGTAGGTGGTGAATATTAAGTTCATGAAAGAAAGAAATATGGATGCATTTCAAAGATTCCAGTATTTACAGTTAAATCAAATAATTGGTAAAACTGAAGTTTTGACATGGAAAACATCTTTGGACCATATACTATAAATGCTTTCGATTTCATGCGTTCATATTATCCTTCCTTTAAAAGAAGAAAAAACCACAACTAAGAACACCCCCCCTCCCCTTCCCTGGATTCCCAATCACAGTGGATGGGGTGAGAGTGTGAAAACATGAGTGCTTAATCAGAATTTCCACAAATCTTTGAGTTGGGCCCATAATGAGCACAAAAGACAACGTAAAAATAGAACCCACTGTCAAAGACGGGTTCAAGTTTGTGTAACTAGTGGATAGAAACCCTGCTTAGTGTTTGATTGTGGTCTAGACGGCAAATACATCCCATGAGCTTTGTTTGTCATTATGGATATTTCATGACAGAGAACAGCGGCGTGGTGGATCGAAGGGAACAACTCAAAGAGCACGGGCAGCGTATTATCTCTCCTCGCGTGAAAAGAACAACCACTTAAAGAACTACAGGCATATTGATATTTCTGTTGTGATCGGGCAACGTGGAAGCAGACAAACCTCTCTGTGCCGCTATACAAACACCACTTAAGACTACCAACATAAAAATAAAAAATAAAAAATACATTACACTTTTATTTGTCCCAGAAGGGCACTTTGGTTTACAATGGGAAACAAACAATATATATACATATACATAAATACATAATTATAAATACGTAATATATAAATTCATGCATAAATACATACATAAATACAGAATATTAAACACAAACAATTGTAAACAGTTTACAACCATGCCACTGTCGGTCGCTATTGCGCAGCGCCCTGTATTTTGAGCTAGGGTTGTCGTGTCTTGCTCAAGGACACACCCCAGTGACCACCCATCTGATCCCCGTGTCACCGACACTTGCTTGATATTACTTGAGTCTAAACTCATATCTTGCTTAGTCACTGGAGCTCCCGTATCATAAAACAAAAATACAGACTAGAAAGAAAGGTCATCTGAGAAACCAGGCTAACTGGTAGACCACATTCAGTCACATCAGTTAGGATAGACAGTAGTAACAATTTACAGGTTTGGAAAAAAAAAAGGACATAATCACAATTGTCCGTCTTCCAAAGCAGGCAATTTCTCTAAACTACCTATTGAACATGATTTACCTGAACATCCATCTCTGAGATTGCTTAGTTTTAAACTTATGAAACCGTCAGTTGTGATGTTGTATAGCAGTGTTTGGCAGTTTCACAAGTCGGCAATAACTTCTTCCTCCACATCCAATTAAAAAAAACGATTTTCTTTACAGCAGTTGGGAAGGAGTTTATAGAGGCTTTCATTTTCATTAGCAAGGCCCTGGACTAAAGGGCACACGCCCACAGGAAGAACCCTGGTAATAGCAAGATCATTCACAGCAACAACAACAACAACAACAACAACAACAACAACAACAACAACAACAACAACAACAACAACAAAAACAACAGCAAAAACAACAAAAACAACAATAATGCCGCCAACGACAGTGATGACAGTAAAAAAAAATCCACTGTTTTCCGGCGTGCTCCAAGGTTGTGCCCTGTGTCCATTACTATACTCTCTGTACAGGAAATATTGTCAGAACCCATGGCCTAAACTTTCATGTGTAGGCTGACATAACTGTACATGTCCTGGTCAAAGTTTGATGTAATCAGATTGTTGACCAGTATAAGCTGCTGTATTGAAAATGTTCAAAAGTGGCTGGGTGACAAACAAACAAAAAAATGATCAATGGAAAGACACCATTATTACGGTGTAGCCCCCGACAGGAGGTTTGAAATCAGTTGCATTGATGAGATAAGGATGTTTTCTCAAAATGTTACTTTTCGTGTGAAGACAAAAAATATAGGTATTTATTTTGGTCATACATTCTCAAAGGAACAGCAGACCTATCACCCATGCAAAGAAAAGTATTGCAAATCAAGGAGAATAGTTTAAATTTCTCACCTTAAAAAAAATTATCTCCAGATTCTCATCTCATTATTTCTGATATCAAGATTTTACTACTGTTATTTTCATATAATTTCCAATCTAAGTTTGAAAGGGATTAACAGACTGCAGCAGTTTCTAAATAGAGCCGCGCAATTTGTCTTACGAAAGTTTTAAAAAACCACATCACACCTTTGTAAATAAAAATGTACTTGTTAACACTTAAACTTAGAATTAATTGATAACAAAATTGCTCTTTTACTTTTATCTCACAAGTGGATGAACAACAAAGCACCACAATAATATCACAAAGACCTCATTGAGTCTTCAAGGCATTTGAGATCTGCAGATGAGAATCTCATGAGAGTGTCCACTGTAAGGGCTAATAGTTAGGTGGAAGAGTGTTTCCATCACATGCTCTTAAAATTTGAATTTCCCTCCCAAAAGTAATATCTTCTATTCCATGAGAGAGAGAGAGAGAGAGAGAGG